GATGGAGCATGTAACAGCCCGCCATCCATTTTCTAACGACCCATACAGAAATCTTTGTAAGAATTGCAAACGAAATGCTGCTATTCTACTTTTCAATTGTACCAAACCATGGCCACCTTCCTCCTTAGGTAAAAACAGCACACCCTGTTGGACCCAATGCAAGTTGTCCCAGAAAAAGTTGACCATAATACCCTGAATTTCTACTAGAAGTTGTGAAGGAGGATCCAAGCAGGCCAGCTTACGCCAAAGACTGGAGGCTACTAAATTATTCACAATCAATACTCTCCCTTTATATGACATCTTTGGTATTAGCCATTTCCATTTTTCAAATTTTCCTTTTACCTTATCAACAACCCCTTCCCAATTTTTCTGAAAGAATGCTTCGTCTCCTAAGTACACTCCCAAATACTTAAACCCACCTGTTCCCCAGCTCAGGCTATCAGGCAATTTTGGTTTCTTTTTTAACCAATTTCCAATTAAAAGCGCCTTACTCTTGTTCCAATTAATTTTTGCTGATGATAAAACTTTAAAATCCTCTAGAACTTCCATTAACACATGTACATCATTTTGTCCATCAATTAAAACAACCACATCATCAGCATAAGCAGATAAAATTATATTGTTTTTACAAACAGGTCAATTCAAACCACAAACTTTTTCTCTTAGTTGTTGCAACAAGGGTTCTATAGCAAGTGAATATAACATTCCAGACAATGAGCAACCTTGTCTTATACCCCTACAGACCTTAAAAGGAGTGCATAAGCCACCGTTTATTTTCAGTACACTTTCAACGTCACCATAAAGTACTTTCACTTTATCAATAAAATCCTGACAAATTCCAAAAGCTTCTAAAGTTCTCCACAAATAAGGATGTTCAACCCTATCAAAAGCCTTTTCTTGATCCAGTGAAACAAGTCCAATATTAATATCGAACAACTTGGAGACATCAAAAATATCCAGCATAAGTTTAATATTATCAAAAACAGACCTACCCGGAACACAATAAGTCTGATCTGAATGCACCACCCGATCTATTACCTTCCTTAACCTATTAGCTAAAGCCTTAGAAAGCAATTTATAATCAGAGCATAGAAGCGAAACATAACGCCAGTTCTTGATTTCTAAAAGATCGCCTTTTTTAGGGAGGAGCGTAATGACAGCTCTACTGCTACTCACCGGCAAACTGCCTGAGACCAAACTATCATTAAGCACAGACAAAAGATCCTCCCCTACTTCTGTCCAAAATAATTTATAAAATTCAACTGGAAGTCCGTCAATTCCTGGCACTTTTCCAGAATCCATACTCTTCAGGGCTCTAATCAATTCCCCCATGTTTAAAGCGCCTGAAAGATCTGCATTGCCCCCCTCTGACACTTGACTCAGACCTACAAAAAAAGGACTCTCAGAATCCCACCCTGCTGCCAACTCATTTTTATACAAATTTTCATAAAAATTACAAGCTCTTTCACGTATTTCTGCATGACTAGTTAAAATATTTCCTGTCTCAGAGCGTAAAGCATGCAAAAAACTTTTTTGTCCATTTTTTTTTTCAAGACTAAAAAAATATTTAGATGGTGCATCCATCTGTTCAAGACTAAAAAAACGAGAACGAATCAGAGCTCCTTGTGTTTTCAAACCCAGCAGGTCTGCTAACTGTGTTTTCCTATTCGAAATCATATAATTTTGACTACTCGCTGCATCAGCTAAATTCTGCAATTTAATTATCTCTGTCTCCAAGGCTTTCATAGAATTATCTAACTCTTTGGTGACATTGCAAGTGTACTGTTGACAAAACTGTTTTATTTGTACCTTTCCAAAATCCCACCACTGATTTAAATCTTGAAACGAACCTTTTTTCTTTTTAAAATCTTCCCAAAATACCTTAAAGATCTCCTTAAAATCCTTATTACACAATAGATTTGTATTAAAATGCCAATAGGCACTCTGAGACTTAATTTGATTTAGAAAGAAAGAACACACAACCATATGATGGTCAGAAAAACTTACTGGAGAAATAACACAGCTCTTAAAAATACCCAACTGATGTTTAAAACTAACGATCTAATCTTGCAAGAGACAGAAAACTATCACGAGCATGAGCCTATGTATACTGTCTCTGTCTATCATGAAAATGCCTCCAAATATCACACAGATCATTCATGTTTATGACCTTAAGACGTTCACGGGAAGGCATGTGAGGCTCAATATGATTCCTGTCAATATGACTTTCTGTGCAATTAAAGTCACCACCTAAAAATAGATATTCTTCAGTATTACAATTTTGTAACGTGGAACCTAGTGTACCTAGGAACAACAATCTTTCCATTGCTGATGTTGGAGCATAAACACAGATAAAAATTAGAACATATTTTTCAAAAATTGCTCTTATTTTTAAGAGTCTTCCTTTCACAATCTCCTCAACTTGATATGAAACTGGACAAAGACTTTTCGAAAATAAAATTCCAACACCACCGCTAAGTGTGGTGGTGTGACTTAGGACAGAAAACCCATCCCATTCCTGCATCCAGTCAGCAGCATTTTTAACATCACTGTGAGTCTCTTGAACGAAAGCAACATCTATTTTTTTCTGCTTAATAACTTCAAACAATTCAGTTCTTTTTTTGCTATTTCTTGCACCATTCACATTCAAAGATGCAATACACACTTCAGGTCATGCTCAAAAATAAAAAAACAAAAAGACAGACTGATTTGAATCATATTCATCGAATTAAACTTTTTCACTGCCATCATTCAAATCCACGTTAAGTTTCCTCACTATTTTCTTTAACCGATACACTTCTTTATTTGAAAAACGCCCTTCAGCCATTAAACTTTTAGTTGTTTCCAAAAACTGTCCTACATCTGGGAAATACTCATTAACTAAAACTCCTCTCTTATTTTTCGTTGACTTAAGGAACAGTTTAATGTCATCTACGTCATAATTGCGGCTGGAAAACTCGCTCTGTGACAGAATAACACTCGAGTCAGATAACTCACTATCACTCTCTGAGTCGATCGGATCAGAGGCATCTTCAAGATCCATTTTCTTCAAATGCCGAAAATCACAAACCTTGTCTGACTTCTTCCTTTTCAATGGCACCTTAAACACTGTTTGTTCCGTACCAGTTTCATTAGGCCCACCATCAGCCTCTTGAACATCCCCCATATCAGTTTCCACAACTCTTTTATCGCTTGACTCATCTTTGTCTCCCTCGTCTTCAACCTCTTTTGTACTTTGGATTTCCTCCTGCACTGAAAGCACTGTGTTCTCCGCAGTCCCAGCACTATGAGCGCCATCATGATCACTCACCTGTGCCACCGCTGACTCCACCTCGGCTGCTTCATCGGCTGGTAGCTCACCGCTGTTAGCTGCGCCTTCCGCACTAGCCGTTCCTTGTTTGCTGGGACAGGCTCGGACCAGATGGCCGACCTTACCGCAGCCGTAGCATTTAATCCTGTCGGTGGTTATAAACATTACATATTCAAAATCATCCACTCGGAAATTCAGCGCAAGGTCTAGGTCAGCATCATTGTTCACAATCATGTAAACTGAGTGTCTGAACGACACCACGTGTTTCAGTAGAGGAGAAATGCCACCAATTGGAATTTTTTTAAACGAGGAGACCACTTTTCCATGGCGAGACAATGCTTGCATTAATACATCATCACTAATAAATGGCGGTACGTTCGAGAGAGTGACTCTTTTTGACGATAATGAAAGTGGTAAAACGGGGGTAAGAACGCCATCAAGTATAATTCCTCTCTGAACTAACTCTAACTCTAAGAGCCTTTTCTACTGTACTTAAAAAAATAACGATAGCACTATTCATCCTTGAGGCAGACAATACGCTCTTATTTCCCACAACTTCACCCACAGCTAAACAACAGCTCTCCACACTCACTGCAGATGCCACTTTTACACCGTGACGACACGTGAGTGAGCTCAAGACCCGCACACCTGCATCCGCCATGCTTCCCCTACACCCCAAACCACCCCCTACAAAAGCAAAAACCCCAAAAAGAAAAAAGATCCAAACTACACAACCCCCCCAAAAAAAACAAAGAGAGAAAAAAGTAAAACAAACTCAAACACGAGAGTCACCACTCACGCTCGCTCACAACGCTCACTCACACCCAGCAGGCAACGCACAGAGAGAGAGAGAATAAGAATGCACCTCATACACTTTTGTGCATGATTGTGTAACTGACAAGTGGAAAGCCTTGTCTGGGTCATGTTGATTCTTTATCCTGACATTCTTCAAGAATAAATCAGAATCCTGTATTTCCAGTTTTCGATTGCTTACAAGGTTCATGCTAAATAAAACACATGCACACTTTTCCAAGTGATGCAATGCTCAAGAAGTTTTTTTCCTGTGAGGACAAGTCATAAAAGGGGTGAAGGGTGCTTTCATTGTTAGCACAAACACACGTTTCAACAGGGTTCTGTGGTGTACTGTTTGCCTTTTCTACAGTAAACAAAATATATGGATAACTTAAATGACAAAGAGAGAAAAAAGAAAAACAAACTCAAACACGAGAGTCACCACTCACGCTCGCTCACAACGCTCACTCACACCCAGCATGCAACGCACAGAGAGAGAGAGAATAAGAATGCACCTCATACACTTTTGTGCATGATTGTGTAACTGACAAGTGGAAAGCCTTGTCTGGGTCATGTTGATTCTTTATCCTGACATTCTTCAAGAATAAATCAGAATCCTGTATTTCCAGTTTTCGATTGCTTACAAGGTTCATGCTAAATAAAACACATGCACACTTTTCCAAGTGATGCAATGCTCAAGAAGTTTTTTTCCTGTGAGGACAAGTCATAAAAGGGGTGAAGGGTGCTTTCATTGTTAGCACAAACACACGTTTCAACAGGGTTCTGTGGTGTACTGTTTGCCTTTTCTACAGTAAACAAAATATATGGATAACTTAAATGATTAGGTTAGACTCATTTTTAAATGTGTGACTAATAAGTATTCCTATGTAATCCACAGACTCTGGTGCAAGAAAATCCACAAAAAATGCCAGCTCAGGAAAATTGCGGTTCTCAGGGTCCAGTAGCTGGAGTGTTCCTTGAACATTCAAATGAAACCATTACAATATACCAAGCCTTCAAGAAGCGCTTGTTGAAGCCAGGAACATGTCTGGCACTGTTAGAAGCTCAAGCTGCAACAGGAGGAATCATCGACCCCATCAAAAACTGGACATGGTCTGTAGATGATGCAGTAAAGGAAGGCATTGTGGGACATGAAATGAAAGAAAAACTTCAATTAGCTGAGAGAGCAATCACAGGCTACACAGATCCATACACCAACCAACAAATCTCACTCTTTCAGGCCATGCAGAAAGATGTAATCCCAAAAGAATATGGCATTAGATTGCTTGAGGCACAGAACTCTACCAAAGGGATATATGACCCTACTGAAAAATGTTACCTAACAGAAAAACAAGCCTATGGGAAGGGTCACTATGACAAAGATCTTTTTAGAGACCAAGTGGATGCTCTAAAAGTATTCTATGACCCAAACTCTCAAGAAAACCTCACCTATGCATCACTGATAAAGAAATGCACTGTAGCCCCAGAAACAGGTTTGCTGCTGTTCCCCATCTACATCACATTTAAAGGCCTCCGCAGAGGCGTAACCTCTGCTGAGCTTCTGGCATCAAAAATTATTGACCAACAGACATTTGAAAATCTGCATAAGGGTAAAACCACCACCCAGGACGTGATGTTAATGGAAACAGTGAAAGAATATCTAGAAGGTAAAAAGAACATTGGGGGAGTAGCTGTGCTCTCCACAAACAAGAGAATGAGCATCTATCAGGCAATGAGACAAGGTATGATCATGCCTGGCTCTGCTTTGATTCTGCTGGAAGCCCAGGCTGCAACTGGATTCATGATTGACCCTGTTGAAAACAAGACATACAGTGTAGAGGAAGCCATTAAACAAAAACTTGTAGGGCCAGAGTACCATGCAAAATTGCTCGCAGCAGAACGTGCAGTCACTGGTTACAACGATCCATACACTGGTGAAATTATATCTCTTTTTCAAGCTCTGAAGAAGGAACTGATCGTAAAGGAACATGGGATCCGATTGCTTGAGGCACAAATTGCAACTGGTGGAATTATCGATCCAATAAACAGTCACAGAGTTCCTGTGGATGTAGCATACAAGCGTGGCTTCTTCAATGAGGAAATGAATGCCATCCTTGAAGATTCTGGAGATGACACTAAAGGTTTCTTTGACCCAAACACAAACGATAATCTGACATATCTGCAACTGCTGGATCGTTGTGTCATCGACCCCTCTACAGGACTCACGTTATTACCCATTCACGATCCATCCAGTAGTCTGAATCACACATTCATTGGCTATGACATCAAAAAAGTCTTCAAGGGTGTCATGGTAAAAGTGACATGTGGAAAATACATGGGAATGACTGTTTCGCTCTGGGAATTACTTATGTCTGAATATTTCACTGAACAGCAAAGGCAAGCCTTCATCGAGCAATACAGAAACAAAACACTCACAATTGAAATTATAGTCACCAAAGTTCTGGAGATCATTGAACATTCAGTGAAAACAGCTAATGTAGTTTTTGAAGGTATAAGAGAAAAAGTAACTGCAAACCAGCTCGCTGAGGCTGACATCATCACAGAGAATGATCTAGCAGATCTCAGAGAAGGAAAAAAGACAGTAAAAGATGTTACAGAGAATGAATCTGTGCAAACATACCTACAAGGAAAACCAAGCATTGCTGGTGTGATGCTTCCTGACTCCCAAATAATGTCAGTCTACCAAGCCCGACAAAAAGGAATTCTGAGGCCAGGAACATCACTTGTTCTTCTTGAAGCCCAGGCTGCAACAGGATTCATAATTGACCCAATTGCTAATCGAAAGTTTTCTGTAGATGATGCAGTGAAGGCACGCGTTATAGGGGCTGATCTTCATGCGAAATTAAGTTCAGCAGAGAAGGCAGTGACAGGTTACCAAGATCCTTACACTGGCAAGAAAATCTCATTGTTCCAAGCAATGCAGAATGATTTAATTGTGAAAGATCATGGCATACGTCTGCTAGAGGCCCAGATTGCCACAGGGGGCATCATTGATCCTGTAAATAGTCATCGCATTCCTGTTCATATTGCTTATAAACTAGGATATTTTGATACAGAAATGAATCAGATCCTTTGCGATCCAACTGATGACACAAAAGGATTCTTTGACCCAAACACTCATGAAAACCTTACTTATATGCAGCTTTTGTCCAGATGTGTCACTGACCAAAGCACAGACCTTTGCCTCTTGACAATCAAAGGAAACGACAAGAGAGTCACAATAGGGGGCAGTGCCAAAGAAGTGTTCCAAACCACGTATGTCTCTGTGAGATACGGCAGATTCAGCAACAAGAAAGTGACACTCTGGGATCTCATCAACTCTGAATATTTGTCTGAGGAGAAAAGGCAGGAGCTGTTAAAGCGCTACAAGTCCAAAACAATCACAATAGAAGGAATCATAACAATTATTTTAGAGATCATTGAGAGTAAGGAAGTACAAAGAAATGCTGACCTCAGTGTAAATGGTCTTAGGGGAAAAGTCTCTATTTTGGAGTTGCTGAATTCGGCAATAATAGATGAAAAAACATACAAAAATGTGCTTGAGGGGAAGCTAACAATCAAAGATCTCGCTGAGATGGGCACTGTGAGAAACTTCCTTAGTGGAACAAGCTGTATAGCAGGTGTAATATTGCAAAAGTCAAATCAGAAAATGAGCATCTACCAAGCCAAAAAAGAGGGCTATCTTACCCCTGGCACTGCCTTGTGTCTTCTTGAAGCACAGGCTGCCACTGGTTTTATTATTGATCCAATACAAGACAGGAAACTCACTGTTGAGGAGGCCTTGAAGCAGAAAGTCCTTGTTCCAGAGTTGTATGAAAAACTCTTGGCTGCTGAGAAAGCAGTGACTGGTTACAAAGACCCATACACTGGCAAGACAATATCACTTTTTGAAGCCATCAAGAAAGACCTTATTGTAAAGCAGCATGGCATACGTCTACTTGAAGCCCAGATTGCTACAGGTGGCATCATTGATCCTTTAACAGGTTTGCATTTACCACTTGAAGTTGCTTTCAAAAAGGGTTATTTTGATGCTGACTTAAACAAGATCCTTGCTGATCAAAGTGATGACACTAAAGGATTTTTTGATCCCACCACACAAGAAAATCTGACCTACATGGAGATGTTGGCACGATGCATCAAGGATCCTGAAACTGGTCTTTTCCTTCTTCCAGTCGCTGAAAAGGGGAAAACACAAGAAAAATCACAAAAAAATCTCTCAGATGCTGAGATCAAGGAAGAATTTGAGAAAAACAGTGTTGTTGTTCCTGTTGGCCATTTCTCTGGAAAATCTCTTTGGGAAGTAATACATTCCGTATACTTCACAGATGAACAGAGGCAGCAGTACTTTGAACAATATCGTCTGGGCAAGATAAACATTAAGGATGTTGTCACCATAGTTACCAAAATTATTCAAACAATAGAACAGAAAGAAGAAACTTCTCAAACAACAATGGGCCTGAGAAAACCTGTTTCGGTGCAACAGCTGCATGACTCTGGAATCATTGACACCAAAACTTACAAAGAGCTGCAACATGGTAAGGAGATACTTGAAAATGTGGTTAAACTTGAATCTGTTCAAAGGTACTTGAAAGGCACTGGAAGTATTGCTGGAGTAAAGCTTCATCCATCAGGAAAAGTGTTAAGTTTATACATGGCAAAAACTGAAGGCGTACTCACTTCTGATGCAGTACTCTTGTTGCTTGAGGCTCAGGCAGCAACCGGATATGTTATCGATCCGATCCAAAACACACATCACACAGTCATGGAGGCTGTCAGAGCTCAAATTATTGGACCAGAGATATTGGAGCACTTACTATTGGCTGAACATGCTGTCACTGGCTTCAAAGACCCATACACAGATGAGCAAATATGCTTATTCGAAGCAATGCAAAAAGGTCTCATCCCTCAAAAACATGGATTGAACCTCTTAGATGCACAGCTTGCCACAGGGGGAATTATTGATCCAATTGGCAGCTACAGGCTGCCTGTTCAGAAGGCAATAATGAAAGGATGCGTGAATAATGAGACCAGTGATCTTTTGGCAAATCCTATAAATAGTGAAAAGGGGTTTTCTGACCCAGAAACTAAAGAACCTCTTACTTACCAACAACTCGTGAAGAAATGTGAAAGGAATTCAACCGGCCTGCTGCTTCTCCCAGTAACTGAAAAGAATACTGAAAACTCAACCTACAGTGACAAACAAATAATAAAGGTCTTCAAAGAAAAATCAGTGATCATCAATGCTGGTAAGTTTGCAGATAAACGTGTATCACTTTGGGATGTACTACACTCAGAATATGTCTCTACAGAGAAAAGGAAAGAATTTCTTGACCAATACAAACAAAAGAAACTGTCAATAGAGGAGATAACAGAAATGGTGACAGTAATGATAATTGAAGTAACGACAAAAAAGCATTCATTTAAAGGTCTGAGAAAACGAGTGTCAGCAAGTGAGCTATTTGGGGCAAAAATCATCTCAAAAGAAATGATGGGTAAGCTTATCAATGAGGAAGTAGATGATGAAGATATCAACCAAATGGAATCTATTCAAAAATACCTTGGAGCAACAAACTGTATTGCTGGTGTGTATGTCCAGTCTACAAAACAGACCATGAGAATCTTCGATGCCAAAAATAAGGGTCTTCTGACACAAGGCACATCTCTGGTTTTGCTTGAGGCTCAGGCTGCCACTGGCTTTATAATTGACCCAGTGAACAACAAAAAGCTTTCAGTAGACCAGGCTGTGGCTGAAGGCGTTGTGGGGATGGAATGGAAAAGTAAACTGCTCTCTGCAGAACGAGCAGTCACTGGTTACACAGACCCCTACACAGGCAAAACAATCTCTTTGTTCCAGGCCTTGAAAAAAGATCTGATTGTCAAGGACCACGGCATTCGTCTGTTAGAAGCTCAGATTGCCACTGGGGGCATCATTGATCCTGTGCACAGCCATCATGTTCCTGTGGAGGTGGCTTACCAAAGAGGGTACTTTGATGAGGAGATGAACAAGATCCTCTCTGATCCAGATGATGATACCAAAGGATTCTTTGATCCCAACACTCAGGAGAACCTCACATATTTGCAACTTGTGGAACGATGTGTTAGCGACCCCAAGACTGGCCTAAGTTTGCTCGCTTTAAAAAAGTAGATAAGATTTGATGCAAAATGCCATGCAATATATTCTCACTTCATTAACTACAATCACTGTTCTGTTTCCACTTATGCCAAATACAAATCTGTAAATGTATATCAGTTAACATACATTTTCAGTGTGCATTGCTTACAATATATAACATACTTTTGCAGTTTTAAATTTAGAAGCATCAGTAAAAGCACAAATGCTATTTGTTTAACATTTAAAATCATCTTTTTAACTCATGCACTCTTGCTGTGTTCAAAACAATTCAAATAAACACACAATTGCAATACGTTAGTTTATTTGATCATTTTCATGCCAGTAATCTTTCATTTCATTAAATATTGCTCGTTTACATTGTGATAAAGTCATAACATTCAACATTTATTGCATACCAGCACATGAACATGAGAAAAATGGTTGCAGATTAGGGTAGTAAAGATAAACAAGTATTTATGGGGGAAAAAAAAACCTGTAGTTGCAAATCTGACAAATTGAAAAAGTGGCCTTATCTTTATATACAAATCCCAGATATATATATATATATATATATATATATATATATATATATATATATATATACAAATCCCAGATATATATATATATATATATATATATATATATATATATATATATATATATATATATGAGAGAGAGAGAGAGAGAGAGAGAGAGAGAGAGAGAAATTACATTTTGTACACTTTAAAAATAACTGAATTTAATATCAGAGTTCCTGCAATATATACATGTTCAGTCTAATTTATCCAGTAGTAGCTGAATGTCTTCTCGACCGTGATATACTCGTTTGAGTCCTCTGGGCAGATACCGGCAAGAAGACAGATTCAAGTACTTCAGTGCTGGTGACTGACTTATTAGTAACCTGTGAAACATTAAAAATGGTATCAGAACATCTTAACTATCTACTAAAAATTACGAAAATACCTGCACTTTCTATTATTGCGTATTTATAAACACTTAAAAAATCTTTTGGCAGGTACTAAATGTATGTGCACAGCTACATCATTACCTGAGTGCAGATGAAGTGATTTTAGTTCCACTGAGGTTCAGGGAGCGAAACAAATCAACTCCAGCACCATGTGCAAGATGTCCCATGGCGATCTCCATGTCTTCTTCTGAAAATGGTTGGTTGGCCAAATCAAGCTCCCTGAGGGTGCTGCTCCATTTGTGGGCAAGCATGTGTATGCCTTTCTTGGATGCTACCATGGTATTGCTGTTGAAGTACAGGCCCCAATACAGACACTCCAGTCCTACACAAGACAAGACAGCAAATTACAGGAAAAGCAGCATATTGTATGATCAGATTCTTCCACATTGTAAACTAAGAATAAAATGAGGGGAAAGTCCATCAAACCATGTGATGTTCATATGTGTGTGTGGGGTTTATATTACATTTTCACTACTGTGTGAGGTACATCAATGTTCACTTTCTTCTTATTTAAAAATCAAGACTTACTCTCACAAGGCAGAGCATAGAGGCCAGTGGCTGTGATGCGAGAGCCACCACGTAGGTCCAGCACACGCAGGTGAGGGGAGCCATGGAGCACATTGTTCAGGTCACTGTCAGTCATGAAAGAGTGAGAGGAAGTGGCAATGCACAGCTCCTCTAGCATGGGAAAACCAGATGTTGAACTCGGTGTGTTGCGGATCTTTTTAGGAACTGGAGTGACATTCATCAACCTAAAAGTCTAAATTGCAAAATAATTTAGAAGAAAAGAAAAAATAGGATTGTAATACTTTATATTTGTAGTACCATTTTTATAAGTTCTCATTCTGAAACATGTCACCATGGTCCGTGTACCTACGTATAATTCGTTTTTTAATTTAATATTGAAATCAGCAAAATTGAAAAAAAACGGCACATTTTAGTTTTTCATTTGTTCAAACAAAACGAAAAATCAAGAATTCGGCTTAATTTTTCTTTTTTTCGTTCAGGGACAGAAAACGAGTAAACTACTTGAATATTCGATCTCTACCTGTGGGTGGGAGTGAAACGCCCCTCTCCGCTGATTGGTCAACCAAACATTACAACATAATAATAGTCCTTAAAAAACATAATAGGAGTCATCAGCTGCTATGGATTCTTGACATGTTTATTATTTCTACTACATTTGATCTCTTTCTCTTCATCAAACAACCATATTAACGAATGGCTTGACACAAACCGTACTGAGGCAGAGCCCATGGGACTATTTGTTCCTCAGAGTGCTTGTTTCAGTGATTGACTTTAGTGAAATGTGAATTTGACGTCATGATTTAAAGGCGAAATCGTTTTAGTTATCAAGAACATATCCAAACCCTGAAATAACATTTCGACCAATAAGCCAGTGTCAACTGTGTCAGAAATTAACTTTCCCATAAAAGGCAACTGATTTTCTTTTGTTTTTTCTTTTTACCTTTTGTATGTAATCTTTAATGTTAAATTGTTACATCAAATAAATTAGAATAATATAACAATAGGCTGTTACCAATTACATCACTATTCAGAGATATAGCCTGCGTCTGAAGATGCTTTTAGGTGTATTTACAGGTTAAAGCTGATCAGATGGCTGAATGTGTATTTACATAGCAATTACAAATATATAATGAAATGAAATTAATGTTTTATACAACATTTTTAATACAGAAATATGAATAAAATGAAATGATACTTAAATTATGAAAGTAATATTGCCAATATAGGTGGCGGTAGCCTATTTCATTGTGTTAATAAAGGAGCCTTTTATTTAATCTATTCGTTCAAATTGCTTCATTCATTCATTTAAGAATAAAATGAAGTGGCTGTCTATAATAATTGGTCATTCAATTGTTGTCTATAAAAATGGGTCTTTCAAAGACTGATTCATTCAGGAATGATAGCGTACACCAGTTCTGTGACTGGTTTAGTTAACGAGACACTGTACATATTCAATCGCGTTTGCTTCCATATTTTTTGATCAGTGCTTTACTCCAAAAGTGCGCATATTGTAATATATAAAGTGCGCATGTATTCACATGTTTACCTCATATTTCTTTAAATATAATAGAATCATAATTTCTTAGTGACTGGCAGAAAGACGATTCTCTGCTGATCCATCAGTCAATATTTCGTGATCATAATTCCCACATTACAGTGATGGTTCTGCGTTCTGTCTCATAAAGCATTTACGCAACAGTTTATTTTCAATGTCTTCATTAGGCCACAATAGAGTGAGTTTTGAGTAAAAACATTGTGTATTAATGTCATACTGTCACTGATTTATTTTTTTTTTATTCCCACCGGGAAAAATATAATTCAGCAGAGACAGGAATACACTGACCAGAAGGGGGGAAATCCCTGGGAAATCTCAACACCCACCCACCCGAATTGCAGAATTTATACCTACACAAAAGAAAGCTCTATCTAGGCTCTGTCTCGGTACGATTTGTGTCAAGCCAATCGTTAATCTGGTTGTTTGATGAAGAGAAAGAGATCAAATGTAGTAGAAATAATAAACATGCCAAGAATCCGTAGAAGCGGAGGACTCTTATTATGTTTTTAAGGACTATTATTTTGTAATGTTTGGTTGACCAATCAGCGAAGAGGGGCGTTTCACTCCCGCCCACAGGTAGAAATCGAAAATTCAAGTTGTTTATTCATTTTCTGTCCCCGAACGTAAAAACAAAAAATGAAGCCGAATTCTTCATTTTTCGTTTTGTTTGAACAAATTACTTACATTTTTCAGATTTCAATATTAAATAAAAAAAAAAGAATTATACATAGGTACATGGACCCACCATTAATAAGAGAAGTGTGTGCAAATATTTTTTAGAATTTCAAATAGTAACTGTGCACTCAACTGAAAAATGCCAGCTATGCAATCGCTGCACACTATTTTTCTTGGTCCTAAATTATATTTAACGATATGTCAATTAATACATTTTTTTTTACAAAAAAATATATAAGGAGTGATAATAGATTTGGTTTGTGTACATGACGAACACAGCACATTTTAGGTTAATACCTGAAGTTTAGGGCATCCAATCTGCAAAGCCTGAATACAGATGGGAAGCTGGCAGTATCCTCCATCTAATTTAGTATTGATCTCCAGCAGCATGAGCTCAGGACAGCAACCTTTCTTTAATTTCAGAGACATTTGCATCATCAGAAAAAGTTTACAAATTCACATACTTTTATATAATAAAGACATTTTATAGCATATTTCAAAGTTTATATCATCTTTAAACGGCAGAGGAAGTAAACATATTAAAAGTAAATAGTAAAAATATCAACTTACAGACAAAGCACTGAGTAGTTTGTCACTCTTGGTGCTGTGTGTGAAGTAAATTTTCTTTATTTGGTTGCCGTATGCCTCAATGAAGGACACCAGACCATCAACATTAAACTATATTAAAAAAAATTAACAATACAAAATAATTAAAATTCTTAAAGTAAAAGTTGACATTAAAAAGAAAATGCAGTCATCATTTACTTCTCATGTCATTCCAATACCCTTTTGACTGTGACCCCATGGTTTTAATATACAGTATGTGACTATATACTGACTATATTGATCACTCTTTTCCATGCACCGTGAACCGAAACTTTTCAAAACCCACAAAAATATCATAAAGTAAATAATATGTCCATAATTTGTAAGTCCATCTAACTTTCTTCTTTTCTGTTCCGCAGAAGAACGTAAGCCATACAGGTTTGAAATGATATATGGGTGAATAAAACTGAATTTTCATTTTTAGGTAACTGTCCCTTCAAATCTAAGTAAACAGTTTGCATACAAACCTCTGAGTGTTGCAAATTTATATTCTCTAATGATCGACATTGAGCACCAAGGTTTTGGAAGGCTGTTTCTGTCATTCCCGTGCAGTAAGACAGCTTGAGAGAATGAAGATTGGTGCATGATTGTGAAACTTTCTATAAAAACAGAGCACAGAGATCATCAGAAACAGATTCAGAAAGCAGTCACAAAATTTCACAGCAGATGGATTATTATTACCTGAATTACATAATCAA